AGTTAGAAATGATGTATTCACATGTTTTAAAGCGCATATCTTCTATTTAAAACTTAATTTCCCAGCCTGAGTACTTTTATGGGTTAAATATGTGCAACAAAAGAGCAGAACACTAAAATATGTTCTAAAGTTCTTAATCAAAATATTCACTTTAAACAATATGAGTACATCATTTGTAATCCAACAAAAGGGCAGGTATTGTACTGTGCAGACACATTATTTTTGGTTAAAGATTACGCATAATTTTTTAAATAAAGAAATATCAAATTAAGCTTCACATGGTTTGTAATGACCAATGGCAATTGTGTGGTACATTTCTCATCATTATTTTTCTTCTGACTAAAATGCTTGTAATTAACACGCTGAAGCAAAGGTTATATTAATGTAACGTACTGTAAATGCACATTAGTAAATTTATGTAGTCACAAGGCTGCGGAATAGTCTTTTGTCATAAAAATGCCAAAATGGCAGAATAAAAGTTCCTTCTACAGTAACATTGTGATTGGGTGATAGCTAATTAATATTCATACCCATATGTATGCCCTTGACACACACACTAACCTTGACTGGAAGAAAGTTACTTCTAATTTCTAACTAACAGTGGTTACAGAGATATCATTTTTATTCAAATGACCACTTGTTTCAAATAATATTAGTGAATCAACCTTCATTTGATGCTTTGGATGCAGTGATTAAAATATTAATTTTTTTTGCAAGGTTGGTATAACGTTACTGCACTTTAAAAACAAGGCTGACATGGCTCTGATGGTATCTGTGTTTCCTAGGCTGCAGTGTCTTGGCACCAGGAGCAGATCAGTGAGCCCACCACAGGAGGTCAGCCCTCTGTGGCACACTCTGATCAGATATTGCGCCTGAGACGCAGGACCTCAGCTGCTTGAAAGATGCACTGTTGCCTCAAAAGCATCAGCTGCGCTTCTTGAGTCTGTACTGGGGCCTGCGTTTCAGCTGCAGCAAACCGGCATTCTAATCATACAGTATGTGAGGATTAGTATCCTAGAGATTTCTATTTGGAAACGCATTGTCCAGCAATTGAATAAGGATATGAGCAGATTTTTTTAATTGCTGGGGCTGATCATTGGCGTAGCTTGGTTAATATTTCTTTGTTAGCATCTCGCAGCAGCAGCACGACCCTAATAATGGGGGAAGAGATTATATCCTAGGATCCCATTCTCTTTGTCACTTGCAAAATAAAGACCTTTTAAGATTAATTTGGGATTTGTTTTCCTGATTGTTTCGGAAAAATCTGGCATTCCCTAAGGTTTCTGGTTAAGAGGAATAGCAAACGTCCCATCAGCTTTTCTTCTCTTATTATGGAGTTTACAATGAATGCTTGGGAGGGATGATAATGTGCCACAGCTTTCGTAAATCTTAATCATTCCTGGCATTCGTGTGATTTTTCCAAATAAAAAAAACTATAGTGTACATCAGCCTTTTCTCCTTTGCATTTGTCTTTTGTATCTCTCTACTCCATATCCACCAGTGCAGCTACCCCTTGGTTCAGACCTCACTCCACAGGGGGTCCCAGCCTCCTTGTGCTGTGGCCAGTGGCCCTCAGCCAAGTGGGTTAAGCCAAATTTTCCATGACTAAACATTTTTCCGAACATTTCATTCATGGGTGTTGTTATTGCTCATGAAATACTGTTTGGTCGGCAGCTATGAAGTAATTGGAATTGAGGAGGCCTCTTTACAAAGTCTTTCTGGGAGGATACGTTATCCATTTTTACAGGAACATAAAAGGAGAAGAGCACAGCATACAAGTCTGTCTTCAGGGAGAACACCATCATGATAATCCATCTACTGTATTTGTAGGAAGTGCTTCATCCTTAAAGGGGATGCAGTAGGCTGGAATTCAGCCCTAATAATGACAATAGCAAAAAACAATAACAATGAGGATAGACTGCCTGAATTTGCATCCAACAGAATCCCAAAACTCTGGAACCCATTTCATCCACTTTGGAAGTGCACCATTCCTGAGGGGTGACATCTCAGGTCCCTCTGAATCAGCAGCCAATCACATGGAGAAGCAATACATTTCTTCAGCGGTTGAATTAAGGGGAAACATTAGGTATGCCAGGTTGTGCATGCCCCAGACAGTGGAATCGGCATGGAATGTCCTAAGCCATCTTAAATGACTAATTATTCAGGATCTCTGTTTAAAATCTCATCTGAAGGAGGGCCCCACCCACAGCACAGCGTCCCCTGTCACCATCCCACTACACTGATAAAAAACTCAGTCATGCTGGCTGCAGATAACTATAAATCATTTTTCGGAATCATCACCTCTTTGCTTCTGACTGTTTAGCAGATGGCTTCAGAATTACTGAGACATCTCAGGTTTCTCTTCTCCCACATGTACATTCATGAATATGACAGGAGATACAGCACAATTAATCAAGATAGATTAGTCAAGAGCTCCCAACCGTTTTTTGTATTGTAAAAGAATTACTCAAAATTCATGTGCATCGCCAACTGGATGGTCTGCAGTGAATGTGAATTCCCAGACTGGAGTGTAATCTGAAAAATCAGAAAAGCAAGACCTACTGTAGATCTAAGTCTAAAAATCGAAACCTGGACCCACCCTGTATTTATGAATTCCTAGCTGAATTTTTAATAACAGGCAGAAGCAATGAGTCTGTGTTTAAAAGAAAGCAGCCTTCAGGTGATGGTGTGTATGTTCTGACTAGTGGATGGATCACACTTTTGATACAGGTTGGGTTGTATACTCCTCTGTAGCTCATTGGGAGCAGTTGCCATAAAAGGGGATATTTCACGTAAGCATAAAAAAGGTGGACCCATTGACAGGACACTGGTCATTAGCAGGGATTATTTCCTTGCAATGCTGGTGTTCATTCAAAGAAATCTCCTAGACACAAAATAAAATCTAGACCTTCTACATTTCCAGAGGCTTTGATTTGAGGAAACCAACCGTAATAGAAATTAATTAAAATGTATTGTTTTGTCTCCATAGAATGATAATTTGTTTGGTTGGCCATTACTATCCTAAAGGTTTCGTGGGATCCAAGTCTGTGGATAAAGGTGGTATAAAGATATAGAACTGCTTCACCTCAAGATAGAAGCATTTAGACTCACATGGGATTTCAAATATCAGCTGCACTACTTTGGTAATTAGATTCAACACAAAGCGATTTTCAACTGGATCAAGTCTTTAGGTAAGGAAGTGTACAAAGTTTAATTATCATATAATTAAGAAGTAAAATTAGTCTCTGAGTAACAATGAATTTGTCTACTTTATTTTGCTCATTTGGTTGTTTAGTGCTATTTTTATCTAATCTTTTCATCTTAATGAGATGGAGAGGGCTGGAAAAGCTCAAGAATACTGATGAGCACCATATTGGAGATGCCTTCAAGAATCACTTGAGGAATTCTGGGTACAGAGTAAATGTCTTTTTTAACGTGACTCACTATTAAGTAAAATGGTTGCATTTTGAAGTTAAATAAACCATTAAACTGTTCCTCCTAAATGTTTTTTTTTAATATTTTTAAGTGTATAAGAGTGACACAACAGGATTAAAAATCACCTGGCTTACATTTTTACAGGCCTGTACATTGTTCCCATCATCTAAAAAAAAAATATTATTTTCAAATCATGAACAGCATAATAGACTTTACTTTTCAATGTCAAAATGTTAAATATCTATATGTTATTATGATGGCATTCAAGTAAGGCACATACTGTACTATAAACATTAAAACAAAAACTGATCTGGAACTTATTCTTGTATAATAATGATCCTGTCAGGATTGGAATCCCTCCTCCTTAAGGGCGCTCCGGCTCTTTCACATTTTAGTTGATTTTGTGCACCTGCTCCCTGTTCCAGCCTCCCTACATAAGCCAGACGCTCACTCTGGTCCAGGCTCTGCACTGGAACACGGATGCCCAGAGGCCCACCTACCACCGAGTCATCCCACGTCCGTGGCTCGGAGGGCATCCGCCTCCTATCGGCGTTCCAAACCAGCTGAGTCCGGGACTTGGAGCGCCTGGTCCCGTTCCCCCTTTTTCTCCCCGACCCTTCACCGGATCACCATGCTCTGGACTTTGGCCTGCACTGGATTTCCCTTTGGACTCCCTTTTGGACTGTTTGCCTGGATCACTCCCCCACCGAGCACCTTCATCACGCCCCTCGTCTCCTCCCCGTGTCTGTTCACTTCCTTCCGGTTTGTGCTGTCTGCATAGGGTCCTGAAAGGTGTATCGTAACAGATCCATTCTTCAGGGCAACATTAGGTACATTTTGATTTGATTACTGTTATTGCATTTCCTTATTACTTTAATTTTAAATAATACATAGAAAACATAAATAGGATTGGTCTCCTTCGGTATCTCGGGTTTTAAGAAAGCTTGTGTGAATGTACAGTATATTTTTTGGACAAAATATGTAAAGTTCCCTTTACTCTAACTGAGGGAATGGCAGCCTATCCACGAGGATGAGACTGCCCAAACCACAACTCACTATTGCGAGGAATGAGCTAGGGAGCTGCTTCAAGGATGTAGATGGGGTGGAGGGACGATGTGATAGAAGTGAGCAAAGGGAAGTATAGAGGGTGAAATATGTACAGTATATGTACAGTAGGAGAGAGGAAGTGGGGAAGCTTAGGATCTAATCTTTCTCCCACATCTCATATACAGTAAACCCCATTGAGTAAATGACACAGTAGAAATTATTCATCACAAACACTGAAGATTACAGAACACATCGCTGTCTTTATTATAGCCTTAAATGGCAATAATACTGAAAAAAGTGAACTCAAAAACAGATGGTGGAAACCCACGTCTTAGTTTTTTTGTGTGTTTTTTAAGAGTACATCAACTCCTGCTTTTATTGTGGCATGAATAACATCAACAAAAGAAAAAAAAGAAATATACAACTTATATTACACTATGTGTTATGAACAAAATATAAATCTATAACTCTATGTTATATTTACATAATTTATTTTTAATTTCAAGTTGAGATGGTAAGATACGTTTTTTTTCTTTTACTTTGTTTTAAGCTCCATTTATAATTTCATGATTGTCTCATTTTTTATTTGTTTCTATTGTTCGTGTTATTTTTCGGCAGAAAATAGCAGAGGCCAGTGACATTATGAATTGGGAACTGAGTTGTGTTTTTTTTTAACAAGTGCAGACTAATACTTATGGGTCCAGGAAACTGATAGATCATTCTTATATAAATACCGATCCATACCATTCAAAAGGTAAAGGAACTTCTCCATCCAACCTGCTCTATAGTGGAGCTGCTGGTGCAGAATGATTGCATTGTGTCACCCAGGTGGGTGCTACCCTTCAGTGGCACATTAATTGAGTCTCCTCCTACGTGTCAAGCACTTTCAGATCCTTTGGGTTGAAAAGCATTACATAAATGAAATTAATTATTCGTATTATTTTAAGATCTGCACATCACCAAGTGTCTAGTGCAGTTATCCACTGGGCCCTTTAAATAGGAAGCTTTGTCAGTTAGATTCAACATCTCTACTAGCAGTATGCTTTCAGTTAAGTAAGCATGGCATGTAGAAGAATGCATATAGTATTTTGCTGTGCCTTTACTAAACTACAATATGAATTAATTTTACATTGCAGCTGATTGTTTTAATGCCCAGCCTTACACCTTTCACAAGCGGTCTGCTTTATATTCCTAGACGTCCTGTGTCTCCAGCAGTTGCCAGTCTATTAATTTAACTCTGCGTCATACAGAAGAAACTGAGAAGTGCGACCTGATGGAAGTCAGGAGCTGGTTCTGTGGTGGCCCCAGAATGTTGTTACTGCTGGCTGCGCCAGAGGAAAACCTTCCAGCACTACATCCTGAAAGTCACTGACTAAAAAACGGTCATGGTTACACCATGTTTTGGAGCTAAAACAAAGTAGTCTTCCTAGGTTTTCAGTTACATAAATAAAACATATCGCCTTCCATAGCAGGGTAAACACAATGGAACATCATTAGCATCAAATCGTGATGTAAGAAGGTTTTGTGACTTTCAAAGGAAGGTGTATCCCCTTAGATGCAGTTTAATTTACCTGCATATCCTAAGCTAAAGAAACACTGTATTTAACATAAGAGATGTTTAATCTTCTAGCCCCTTAAGTATAGATTATGGGACTTTGCACCCACTGTACAGTTCAGAGGTACCTGTACAAAAGGACTTTGCAACAATCATACATTTTATCCTAATGATGTTCCATTATGTTTCAAATTAACATCCCAGCAAAAGAGAGCAGGGTGCATTTGTTCACAAAAATGGGGAACAATCTGGTTGTTGTTGTTTTTTTCCTTAAAAAAGAAAAAAAAGGAAAATTTCACATTATACATTAATTAATACAAAAACACTTTCTTCTTTCCCCGTCCGTACAGAGTGCTTTAAGAAATGCGTCTGACATGAGAGTTAAGTTAATGAAAATGCATGGTGTAAGAAAGAAGTTTTGTCTCCACCACTTGCAACACCAGTCCATCTTTTTAACTCCTTCTGAGCAAAAAAAAAAGGATTTAAAATCAGACAAAACAAAAAAAGCAAACCAAAAATAAAAAGACATTTTAGATCTAAATATCCGGTTTAAATACCTACTGTATAGCTAAAAGGTAATCCTGCATTGCTGAGCAGTTTCATAAGATAAAAAAAAACATAAAGGAGAAATAAATTATACATAACTTACTAACTTAGGAACAGCTGACCATAATTATAATTATTAATAATATTATTACACTAGAGGCAGTTTGATTGAAAAAATACAGTCTTCAAATACAAACAAAACACTGACATGCAGAATATGGTCAGCTACTCCAAACACCCACAGCAGAGTTGACTTCACAAAAATAAGAACTTTTTTAAAAATGAAGGGGATGAAAGTTCTACTGTTTCCAAAAGTGAAATTCCTTGGGTTCAGTCATAGTTCTGAAATGCAGGAGGTTTCATACAGATTTCAAACACAGTGTATCACTCTTGTTAAAGAAAACTGTGTGAAAGTGTGGACCAAAATGCTTTCCAGCAGAAATATAGGAGCATTATAATTGGAATTCTGACTTTTGTTGCCATTAGTCCATATTTGTTAAAAAGCAAGCAAGACATCTTATTTCCTGAGCCATTTTTAAATTTCCAAGGTAAGTGCCAATAGGTCTATTTTTGTTCTTCTCCAAACATTTTGCCCTTAATACCCTTTGGCTAACGAAATTTAACAGGCAACATTAAACTGAGAAATTCCTGATTCACGTCACATAAACATCTGCAAGTAGGGACTTATTCGCGGTGGCACATCATAAATGCATCGTCCAGCCAGAATAAACTTTCTGCAAATGATAAAATAACACCACTGAGTGAAATGCACAGAGAAATAATATGACACCTCTCTCTCAAAAGAAAGAAAACAAACCCTTTCCTTCAAATTTTAAATTAAAAATGCTCAACAACGCTAAAGAGTCTGAGCTACGAAGTATAGAGCAGAGGAAATGGTGAACTTCTACTAAAGCCAGGAGAAGGATCCAATTCCCAACCTTTGGGATGTACAGAACACTCTGCACTACAGGATGGGTACTCTGAGGTGAAGCACAAGGCCGGTATTCACCATGTCATGGAGAATCCGTTGAGATTGTCTTCAGATGTCCATTCAGGGTAGGAAGCAGCTGCCAAATGGTTTCATGAGGGCGGTTTAGCAAAAGGGGCATGAAATCATGGGGACACAGCAAGCCAGTCTGCCGAATTCTTTTTCTTCAAGGAGTCACTGACCAGCACGAGTACGCTAAATTGAGAGGGAACAAGCAGCACAGCGACATTGGCTGCATGCTGGCCAAGTCATGCTACCTCTGCCCGAGGAACGGTGATCAGCTGTGCAGCAACCCACAGTGATCCCTTCCCATACCGTTACACTGCCACACCACTGTAAGCGCAATCTTCAAAACAGCAACGACAGAAGGGGCTCTGTACACGCGAAAGAATGACAAACTCTTACACAGACCGTACCGCGACACAGCAGTGAGCACCCATTTGTAGTGAGCTAATGCATTTTGGATTCAATGCATTTATTTGCGATTTTTACATGTTAAGGGCTCATGCTCTTGTTATTTGGAATATCCAGCTCCTCTGCCATATGGCCTACCGAAGAGGCCAGCAGGGAGTCAAAAGCCTCTCCCCAGAGAAACACCAGCTGTGACATGGCAACAGGGGAGTAGGAGGGCAAGGCAAATTGAGACGATAACCAATGTGGGTCAGAGGAACAGAAATGATTAACATTATCACTAATTTTCTTCCCCATGCACTGAGCATAAAGCGATGCAAACAGCCAGCCACTACATGTACCGCCCAAATCCCACAAATATCTCATCATTTGTGATAAAATACAAAAGTCCAGTGGCTGGTATAAGTTCAAAAGTAACCACACAAGCTTTGCATCACTGACCAACCACCTCATTCACCTTAAACTGTAGTAGTTGACCAAAGATAATCTTCCCCTGGACATGTCCAGTACAGTATCTCGGAAATGTCCTAGATTCTGCGTCTAACGTTTTGGCTGATGCAATGTTCGTAATCCACAGATCTTTGAGGATGGCCTGCATCCGTCATTCTGATTTTTTTGATCAATACAAAAGGGGACAGGGATTTCTCACTTGCAGAATGCAGGAATGTTGTCTTCTCATGAGTCTTGTCATAATAAGCGTGCTGTTTTATGAAAAGTATTTAAGGACATGAGACACAGGTGAAAACCTTGAATTTGGTAAGGGGTCTACCAGATATGTATGACTTTTTGTTTTGTTACTGAGCTCAGAAGAATTTCTATATGCTAATGATCCTTTTTTTATTTGCGCCGGTTTTTGACTGAATCATGAAAATACCTAATTCATTTTTAAGTACTGAATAAACTTCTTAAATCATAAAACTGCAGCAACAGGCTACCGAAAACTGATATTCAGTGGTTTATAGGCTGACCACAGAGCACTTGATGTGGACTCTAAATACCTGTAGCATGTGCTTTTGGGTTTTCTGGGTATTTTTTAAAAAACTCTTTAGATGTGGACTTAAGTAAATTACAAAAGCAGGGTCTTTCTGACATGTGAAATGTTTTGGGCACTAAAGTAATAACATTTATTTTCTGGGAAAGTTGTCGTCTGTTTCTTTTGGAATCTGCATGGACATTTGAGCGTTTGAGCCAAAAAATGATTAAAAAAGAAGAAAACCCTTTTAAGAAGCTTTTTAACCCCTCATTAGACTGCCCCTGAAATATTCTACTTTGAGAGAAACACTCCAAAAACCTATTATGCAACATTACCTGACCTAAATCATTCTAATTACTTTTTATTTGAAGGCTTTCAGCATTATAAACATCTGTATTATCATATTATTAATTCCATCTTGCTGTGAAGAGCTCAGAGATTTCTGCAGTTTGTGCACTGCTTGGTCAAATAGTGAGTACTGTACCATGTCCTTCCATGGGAAGTGCAACTGTTATATAATTAAACATCTGTGGAAATATAAATGAAAAAAAGCACAAACATAGCCAATGTGCAAGCACGACGATGGAAAAGGTGAAGTTTCATCCCCAGAGCTGACTTGCTAATAATGGTCCAACACATTATTAGTACCATAACACACAAAAATTTTACACATAAAGTTTTAAAAAAGAAAACATATTTCTCTTGTTTCAGAAGTCTCTCTTCACCTGAGAACTGCACCTACAGTTTTCTTAAGGAAAATGAAACAAACACATGAAGCCCAAACAGAATAAAAACAACAAGTTGCTGGTACTCCAGGACCGTATGGGGGATTGTCTAAGACACAACACTTTCCTAACTTAAGACGTTAAGGATTAAAAAAGGTCACCTATTTTCAACACCTAGTACAAATTTGGCACTTCCTATAAGATGCGATGTTGGTGTGCGATGAAAGGTGGAAAGTCCTCAGAAAAAAAGGATGCGACGACAGTTCGTTGAAATTCAATAAAATAAGTCCCTCGAAAAACTTGAGAGAAGCCTTAAAATGTTCCTGTCAGGTGCATTTTTACTAAAGGAAAAAAAATAAAAAGATTTTTTTTTCTTAAAACTGTAGCACAAAAACAACAAAACACATTCACAAGCCACTTGTTGGCACTGTGTACCTGAGTGAGAATATTCTAGAACGTCGAAGAACAAACAGCCGTTTAAAGTTTATTTTTCAACAAATAGGTCAGAAGGGTAAGACTTCAGTGCTTGGGTATAGCAGCTGAATTACTAGCATCTCTTTTCTCTTTGTGTTTTCTGTGTAGCTTATTCGGTTTTCTTCTTATTTTCTCTGATTCTGCTTCGCAGACTCAGGTCTAGAATTCAGCAGAAGTGAAGTCCTGACAAGTTTTTAAGACTTTCGTTTTTTTTTTTTCTTCTTCTGTGTAACAGTCAGTGTATGACAAAAAGTTAATGTGCTTGGCTGCTGGTATTCGGACACCGGAGAGGTGTGGGTCAGGGAGGCGGGCTAGCTCCTGTCTGAAAGAGTCTGGAGGGGCTTGGAGGGGGTGGGGGCTGGTCAGGAGAGGGCGCGCGAGTAACGGGAGGGAGGAGAGGTTGTGTTGGTGAAGAAGCGGCTGTGGCCGTGAAGCGGGTCAACACCTCGGCTCCCCCACCATTATCAGTCAGCCTGCGCGGCAATGTGGTTTTCACTGTCACTGCCGTAGTCCGCGTCGTCATCCTCGTAATCAAAGTCCTCGTACACGTCCCCATTGCTGTCGTCCACCTGCATCTCCTCCTTGACGCGGGGCTCCTCTGTCTTCATGCTGTGCAAGTAAGTGCTCTGAATGACGGGGATGCTGGGCTCCGGGCTGCTGGACATGCTAGAGTGCTCTGAGGGGATCTGCGGGGAGGGCATGCCAGCCATGGCGATGGCCCCCGGGTACACCACTCCTGCCGACGTCAGAGGAATCTGACCCTGCTGCCTGTGGACAGAAAACAGAAGGCACACATATGAGGACTCACGATACCAAAGTCCAGCTTTTACCTGGGACACAAGGGGTTCTTTCTTCCAGCTTTCGTTTCAGATCCGAGCTCACGGATATCCAGGAGGCTCTGTTTATTATTTGGATATCTGGGCGAACAGGATTTGACGATCTAAACCCTGCCGATGCGTTGGGGGCTTGGCTCGAGTGCAAAGTTTTAAAATAGGAGCTGTAAAGAAGTTTACAATTTTGAGTGAAAAAGTATGTTTGAGAACTTATTGTGGTGAATCAAGTTTTTGCATAATCAGATTGGAGCACTGGAGTTCTGGGGCTTTTGCCCCCCAGACTGTAGTACTAACAGCTGTGTGATTTATCTTCTATATATAATTATAAGAGATGCAGGCAATTTAAATACAAAGCCTTTTCACATGCATTTCACATTGGTTTATTTACTGTGTCCATCAGAGCAGTACTACAAACATTAATTACCTTTCATTTTCAAATACTGCAGCAGAATTAAAAATAAAAATAGGCGTACCAAATTAACTTGGGTAGAGTAGCACTTTTTATAAATCTCACTATTTTTCACATAGGGTTCTGATCATTTTTGAGATAAGATTATTTAAATCATCAGGACAACCCAGAAGGTAAGCCAAATGATACAAAACAATTCCTTCAGAACAATTCCTTTGCATCTGAATATACAGTAGCATCCTTGGGATTGAAATAAAAACAATTCCTGAACATGAAACATATTTTTCCTATCACTGAGTACTTGTCTAATGATATTTTAAATGTCAGCTTTATTCAGCTAATTCTGTTATGTCTAAAAGAGTTATGCATTTGCCATAAAGAAATTTGTGATTAAAGTATTTACACAAATGTTATGCATCTAATCCTAAATTACCCAAGACATTCTAGAAAACCAATGGACCAAAATAAGTATCTCTGGGGAAAAAAGGGTTAATATGCACCTGAAAAGAAATGTATCTACCCTGCATGATTTCCTAAGCTAATTCAAATTAGTTATTTTTTCAAAGTTGCTCTGAAATAAAAATATCGCATATCACGAGTTCATACCCGACAGTGAAGTACTGTCTCATCTCCTGTCGTCGGTTGCGCATGATGGCTTTGTATTCCCCGATCCGAAGTTTTTTTCCATCCACCAGGCACGTGCGCTTGGGTCTTGGCTTGTACTTGTAGTCGGGATACTTCTCCAGGTGCTGCTTACTAAGCCTGGCCTGCTCCTCATAGTAAGGCTGCTTTTCCAAATTCGTCATGGCTTTCCAGCGAGACCCTGTATGTAATGGAAACAAGGATTTGTGTGATTGTGAGTGAAGTGGGGGGGGATGGGTCCGTCCAGAATTAACTACTATCACATATCCTATCACATACCTTTGCATATGTTTATCTTTTCTCTGCATTTGCCAGTCTTGGATTATTATACTAAATAAAGCCCTGCTGGTGAGCTCTTTAAGATAAGACTTTACCTGTGTCATGATAATTTTAAGAAAATAATTACTGTATATGCCGTGACTTTCTCATTGGAATAATACGCACTTAAGCCATCTTACATCCTTAGTGGAAATTCAGTTGTCATACTGTAGAACATGTGATCTTTCAAATCGTTTTATGAATACAGTCACTACTGCATTATCTATGTGAAGGTCTATCCACATTGCATCAGAGAGTCAATGTCCTCAGAAGACCTTACATGCGATGTGCTATTATTATTTCTAGGTTCAGCACATTGTGTTTAAAATAATGGAACTCAATTTAACTGCCTCTCACTGTTTATTATGGCATAAGTTGAAGTCTAGACTTCAAACAATGTAATAGAATGTAACAGACGTGCAGTAGAGATCAGAGACTCTGGCCTTAGAATCGGAAGGTTGTGGGTCCCAATCTCAGGTGGGACAGCACTGTTGTACTAGGTACTTGTGCTAGGTACTTCACTCACATTGCTTCATTAAAGGCCCAGTGTAAATCAGTTTTGATGGAAGTATCAGACAAATAATTATAATCAAGTCAATCTAAATCTCAATATCGGAAGCAGCTCTATGCTTCTATGCGTAACAGTTCTGCGGGTGGCCTTTTGATCTTTTGTATGGCTATTTCACTCTTGTTATTGATTTTATTCAATGGAAATACTTAAAAGGGTTCTATCGCTTCGGTAACTGGGGAATTGGACAAGTTTTTCAAATATACATATTTTTAATTAACTGCATCTACTAGTATTGTTTCAGTGCAGAGAGAAATTGCCCTTGGGTAGCAGTTGACCCTCTGCATTTCTGTCTGTTCTCCCTTCATTACACAGAATGTTTTTTTTTTCAACTGGGCAAACTGGGCAACATGTGCAGAGCACTCCACTGTGCTATTTGTGCTACAGTATGTGCAATGAATTTACACTCTCCTTCCAACTACTGTATATTTAATCAGAAAAAGCTGTCACCACTGCCCCCCAACACATGCAGCCAAAACTGTAATAGGAAATTCCTTATGTTAACAATTCAGTGTAGTGGCTTATTAAAACCAGATTTCAGTGCATTATAAAATGCTTAGAAGCTCTTTAAAATGTCAAAAGAAATCCCAGGGGTCTGCATAAAATGTCAGACTAACTCAAGTGCTTGTTTAATGCATAATGAATTAGTATCATATTGTTGGAGTCTGTTCTCCATAACAATTCATTAACTGTTAGTTATACAATGAAATGTTGCTTACAAGGAGTGTAGTAATCTAAGCTTTTTCTTTCTGATATCTCCCTCCAAGGAATACCAGGTGCACACGCCTGCTATTTCTGACACAAGCTCGGCAAATAGAGATAAGAACTGGACAATAGATTATGTCATTGAGAATCAACCTCACAAGCAAGGAGAAGAAACTGCTCTGGGCCACTGAGGTAACTAAACAAACTGTCCAATTTCTATACTGGGATAAAAAGGAAGAGGAAATTATTCCACAGACTGTGTTGATGTATACATGTATGGTATGCATAGTGGATTTGATTTCCATGGTCTCGAGCTGAAGTAAATAAAATGTGTTCTTCTGTGTTGGATATTTAAAGCTCCTTCAAGTGGAAAAAAAGCAGATCAGCTACACAAGGGATAAACAAAATCTGGTTAAGAAGAATTTCTTTAAGTTATCTTACCAAGGATTTTGCTGATGTTAGAGTTATGCATGTCAGGGAAGGCCTGGAGAATTTTTCTCCTCTCATCTTTTGCCCAGACCATGAAGGCATTCATGGGACGTTTTATATGAGGTTCAGTGTTACCCCTGCCTCGGGCTTCCCGAAACATCCTGGAGTCGGAAACACTAGGGCTTCCTAGGGCAGAACAAGAACAAAACAATTAGCGCTTGCGATTTAAAACCTGTCGCCATGTGCTATCCTATTTTAGGGATTACATGTTTTATTAAATACGAAATATTTATTCCCAAAAATTAAAAAAAGAGTGTTTTATTTGCACTTGCCAGATGAATGTATCTGTAAAGGTGTATTTTATACAGAGAGGTGCATTAAGACATGAATATTAGGACACACACTTAATATATTCATTCTTAGGAAACCGAAGCAGTCAGGCTTTTTACATTAATTGTCCTTCTATCTATTTACGGGAAAGCTGTTTATTTCTGGCAAGGGCCATGGTGACCAAGAGACTTTTTGGACAGCAGGGGGCACAAGGTGGCAGTACACTGGGCAGGACACCGGTTCTTAGTGGGACCACACCGGACCTATTCAGGGTCACCAATTAACCTAGCCAGCACATCTCTGGAAGCAGGGAGGAAATTAGGCCTGCACCCCCTTGGATGCATTCAAACATTCAAAGTCCACACTGTGGGCACCCCAGGCTGTAAACAAAGTCAGGACACCCAGAACTGTGAGGTAGCAGTTAAAGCAATGAAAAAGCTAATTCTGAAAATAATTTACAGTTTAAAGCAAATTATAAAATGAAAATTGTCCTTTCACAATTTTACTCCAGAAGACATTAATTAATTGATGGGAGAGGAGACCATGATGTAAAGTTCTATTCGATTAGTTTAGTCAGCTTTTACAAACCAGCTGTCTTTAGTCCCTGTTGTGCCAAGACAAAATTAAGTCTTACTCTCTTACTGGAGTTCATCTGTCCTGTAATTGTTCAACTTCATCCAAAGTCTCTATGGATGACCTTTTATGGACATGCCTCAGTGAACATATCTTTTCGATTTTTGTAACACCTGTGTTACTGTACTGAAAACTGCATCATAAAATATTTATCATGAATATGGTAGATCCACAATAAAAAAACAACAAAAGAATAGTCTACATAAGAATGATAAATAATGATATGCACTTAAAAGAGTTAGACAAATTCAAGTAGAAAAGTATATAATTTTGCAAATTAGGTATTTTAATCATAATGTTTCAAAGATAACAAGGGAAGTGCCATTTTATTAGCACTTTTCATCTAAAAATGTTGTTAGTCCTTTGGACTGCTAATCAAATAATGAATGTATTTCTTTTCTTGAACTACATGTGAGAAGTGTATAGAACAAAAAACATGTTCAGATGACTAAAGCACCAAGCTAAAACGCATAAATTCAATACATTTCCCTGTCTATTCTCTTAATACGCCGCAGTGTAAGTTAAACTTTAAAAGTAATTAGAAAAAAAATCAGAAATATTTTAAAAGAAATTAGCCCTTTCAAACACATATAGGCTTTAAACATTCTTAGATTTGTTTATAAAATTCTTTGTCACTTTATCTTTTTACATATAGATCCATTTCTTCCATTTCTACATTATAAACCTCCACTCTCTGCTTTCAGAATGCGCTCACAGAAGGGAAAATCTAAAAATATGAATAGCGACAGCTTAATGAAGGCACCTGGGTAGGGGAACCATGGGAATGATCCCAAGATACCCCAACACAGGAGGACATATGTCGAAATGAGAGCCCTCTGCTCAGATCAGCTTCTAGTGCTTAGTGTGGTTTCTCTACACAAATCCTGCTTGGTTAGAAAACAATGCTGGAGAAAGGAGACCAGGGTTCCCGCTTGATCCCCCTGCTCCTGCAGGAGAGAAAATGGCCGACCTGCGCCAGCTCAAGCTCTTTGAAATTTACTTCACCCAGAGCCGCGGACAGCTGAGCCACAATGCCTCAGAGTGTCTTGGGATATCGAATGCTGGACCATGCAATCATCTGAAGCCCATTTTATGGCCATTGTTTTTTTTTTAATTATTTCATTTAAATGAAAATACTACATATGAGTTGGAACAGCTGCTCCTCTCCTTTATCTCCGAGCGGGATAAAAATAACCAACAAGCTGACATGATCTGAAGGGTCCAGTTAAACCTAATTTGAGCAAACAGCACCTGATACTAACCATCTGAGTCTCCGCTCATGTTGAACTCCATCATGGCGTGGTTAAATTTGCCGTCCTCACTTTGCTTTGCAGCAAGCTGCTGTGTCAGGCTTTCCAGTGCCGCCTTCTCCTGTAATGAAATACACAGCATTACTAGGGCTCGTTCGATAACTCTAGCATGGGACTGAAGACAGTGCTGAGGACATCCCATTAATCACGCTCTGATTAATAATTTGAAGGGAAAACACAGGAGGTGTTGCATGTTTAGCCTTCAAAGAGTGCACAGCCTGAAAACAAATCTGTTGAAAATGTAAAGAGTTTTAAGTGAAATAAACTTTTGCATTGTATCAAACCATAAACAAACCAGATAGTAATTGCTTATTGCATTTAGAACATTTTCCTCCACAGTTAAAAGTGTCAAATTTGGGAGAGCTTTTATCCCATGCATTTCTGCTGAAAGACCACCAGGGTGCAGCCCTGACACTTCAACAAGAGCGCGTTCTGTCTTGGGAAAGCCTGATACAGAGTCTGCGGACTCCACTGGCATGGTGCTGTTATGGTCAGATAAGATTTGCTGTTAGTACTTACAAGGTGTTTCTGACTTCCTGGGCTGTTCGCTAAAATATCAAGTGTGACAACTTCCAGTAACAGGATACAGTTTTAAAAAACCTTTTGTTAAAAAGTGACTTGGGTGGGATTTTTTTCCCCCACAATTTTATTCCCACTAGCAAATCATGAACATACCGTACACAATAAAGTAGTAAGGCAAAGAGAGAGAGCAGACGTCCAAAACCTATATTATCTACTGGTACTGCTTTTAATGAGTTAATTACGGTTAATTACTTAACTGTAATCAAAACTATGCACACATATGACTAAAGCATATGAGATGCTTTAATTCACCCGATTGAAAGAAATTCAAGTTTTTTTAGCTCCAGTTTTACTACCAGTTTGCACAGCACTTTTTGTTTAATTCTTAGCTTGCCTAGTGTCTGCTGCAGCACTGACCCATATCTCTCTTCCCATACAAGACAGAAAGGGTAATGAAATAATTCGATTATAACAATAAAGCTGGAATTGTGTAAACTCTCAGAGGATAACTCTATTCTGGGAATGTCAAAACAGTCAGCTGTGCTTTTGTTGTGTATCACTATGCAGTGACTCAAATTAACCTTCAATCACAGAGGGGGATGTATCTGACTATAATTATACTGAGTGGAGAAAAGCAGAGGTTAACTGGCATGGGGGAGGGAGTAAAGATTACAGTAAGGGGGTCATAACTGCTGATACAGAATTAACAAATGTGTATTGCTGTGGATGAACAATTACCAAGAAGCTCACAATTACATGATACACTAATCATGTGCACATACAGTATAGTACAAGAGCTTGTTTTTACTTCTCTTTCATGAGAAGGAATTTCCGTTTTGTTTGTGAGATAAATCAGACTTTGTATTTTCAGAAATGCCCAATAAACCAATAAACATATTACCATTCCCATCAAAAATAAACTTATTATAATATAGGATACACTGTTTGGAGGGTAGTTACATTACTAACATCACCGTTGTTAAACATTGTATGTTATTATCATTAATCACAATTTTATTTGAAGCTTTTTATAGTATAGTACGTCTAATTTACCACAGATACAGTAGTCAGAATATTACATAATATTTCCTAATTATTTTCCCAAGGCTCTGTTTTGTAGCAGTTTGATGCAAATTCAGTGAACTTCAAATTCACAAGTCAGATGAATGATCACTTGCCTAGTTGAAGATTAAAAATGTGCACTTTTTGTGATAGATGTTTGTGAGTCATAGGGGGTCTGACGTAAAAAGATGGGACTAACCAGACTGTCTTCGGTCAGGGAAATGGTTAATTCTGCTAGCTTCATCCATCAGGCAAGGCAGCAAGGCATCAATATGAATGATGGATGTGAAATTATTATGTGGCTGCCACCAAAAGCACTCTCTGCCATTTGTAACTAACACTGGAACTGACACACTTTTTTATTAAACATCCACATTAAGCCAACATCGGTCACTGTCATCCCCAGTTCAGTGCTCTGTTAAGAGGCAGACAGGAGAGTTACTGTAGTAACATGGAGGTTGCGCTTCGCAGTACTGGAATGACAAAGCGGAAGAGCAATACTGGAATAAATAATGTTACAAATAGCTCTTTAGTCAAACCATGAAATGCTGTAAGGCCCTGCAGCTGACAGAAAGGAGAAGTGTTTTGTGAACTACGCAGAGACTGAATGTAAGAATCTGATTTTCACAGAAAATCAGGACAGTCAGAAACATTTCTTCAAACCATGAAATAATGATGACAGTCGTGTAAGATATATCGAACAGCTCAAACTGGGTTTCAATTATACGTATCACACTGTAGCCAGAGCCCTGGTTTAAAAGCATTAGAAGCATCACTCCTTCTGAAGTAACTGATAAAACTGTGACTCAACCGAGGCAAGTTTCCCTTGTTCTTAGCAAAGAAAGAGGCAGATCTAGAACCCAATCACCTCCCTCCTCCTACAAGCATACACAATCTCTTCCAATCTGCAAGCTGGTCTTTGAGCAGGGAAAACACTGGACCGGAACAACACCCAAAAATCAGCACAGCGCTGTTCAGTTAAGACTGCTCTCCATCTGCATGTTTACAAAACCAGAGGTGTAATTTCTAAAATTCACAACTGTATTTTTTTTAAATGCAAGAGTGAAGCTATTTACTTTGAGGGGTGTGACCCAGGAGTGAGCAATGCAGACTCAAAGGAGGCGCATTCCTTTCTAAATAATAGAACCTGTTCAAAATCAGTGGGTATTGTTTACCGAGGCTCATTCAGTACATACCCAATGTGGCCACTAGCTCTGCTGTAAGCATTAAAATGCTCTGATTTGTCATCGTTTTCAAAGGACAAGAGCTCACCTCGTCACTGAAGAGAGTGACCCATCTGTCTAGCGTTTTGGAGACACAGCGGCACTCAGCTTTGCTGAGGTGATTTCAGATCTCGACACAGGCAGCTGTGTTGCCATGCAAATTTGTGAACTCTAGAGGCCGGAGATCAACACATTAGTGTGCGAGTGCGCAGAGCTCACTATGCCTGCTCGTTTCAAAACCATTTTGACATTAATTTGAAACTCGGAGCGAGAGAGGGCGCGTTCAAAGTGAGATTTACAGACCTAGTTTATATTTATTGCACTCAATCAAAGGCAGATTTACGGCACATTTACATGGCAAATGCAGACATCTTGCTAATTTTCATCTCAGTACCCCTATCTTTTTTTAATATATATTCAGCTTTCCAGCCCTGGAGTTGCATTTACAACTTAATTATACAATTAGAATACATCACAAAATTATAGCATCTTTAAAAATACACTTAAAACTGTCCCCTCCATTAGAATGTGACCCATGTAAATTGTGAATCTGTAATGAAATGCATTATTTTATTCTCTGTGATGGAATTAAATTGTTCCTCTGAGTTAATTCTCAGAATTTAAATGAATGTGCTAAACAAACACAATTTAAACAGGAAGAAAAGAATCAGTGAAATACATTCATCTTTAATTATTAGTGGTAGCAGTGTTAATAGTGGAAGGAGCACTAATAAGCTGGAACAGTAGAAGCAGTAGTAATGCTAGTATATATTGTGTCCGACAGTTCATGCATGGAGGGGACTCCATATTGTTGTTCAGAAGTCAATTGGCCCAAATCAATATAAGCTACAGATAGAACAAAGCTGCAAATATCATCATAATATCTTTCTTTCGTGTGTAGTATGAAAAATGTTCCAATGTAAAACAGTGTCAAATTCTCAGAAGCAAAGAAATGTTAAATACTGAGCATGACATACAGTATTTGTTTGTAATTGAAAAAATTCAAAATTCTGGATTTAGTAGAAGGCACCTACATGCAAGTCTCTCAAAACTGCAGACTAAGAAGACGCTCCAAAGTAAGAAATTATCTGCACAATTGTGCCTGAAGCATTGTTTAATGAGCAGTTATTCAGCTACCTTTTTGATCACACTTTTTATGTTTGTCCAATAGATTGGACAATGATATAACATTTAATTTGGCAAGACTCCACAATCAGAATTCCAAATATTCTAGGCTTTGGGAAATGCCATGTCTATGTGGAGCTCTGGTAGTCTACTGATATCAATACACAGCCTGGAAATATCACACAGATACCTGGGAATGTGCCAAGCCCATCTATCTCTGTAGTTGCATGTTTTTGTCTGGACACACCCACTTTGGCCTCTCTGAATTTTTCCCCTAATTTAGTTGATGAAGTGACCCCTCACTTGTCAACCTGATATAATTTGCAGTGGATCTGCTCACTACAGTATGATGGCTGCTGCAAATCACCTAAGTAACTGAGGCTAAGTCATGGAACTTTCTTTTTTTAATGAAAGAAGATTGCATTTTGAGGGCTTGGTTATGGAAGTCCATGTCCTCACTGCACAGTAGTCGGCGTCTGAGGAACTGTGAAAAAGGGTGAGAGTTCTGAGTATGTGTGGGGTTGAAGGAGCTGTACAGGAGTGAGCTATGAGTCAGTAGTTTCTAACAGACGGACGTTCAGAGTTGTGGATGGTTAATCGGGAGCTCTTTGTTCAGAAATGGAGGAGTGTTACATGTAAATGAAAGGGATAGGTGAAGGTTGGTGAAGTGATGCAAGAAATGCCCTAGTTGGTCATTAGACTGTGTATGGCACCGGCGCACTCACCAGTGTTTTGCTCATCTGCCTTGCTAAACACGTTCCTGTTCTAAATATTCACATATTCACACTTTCATTTACGTGACTATACCTTTTATATAAGAAAGCCAAATAAAACACATAAACTTCAGTTAATAGGTAATGTGTTTGAGTTTGTCACATACTTGAGCCTGATAGTTCTGTCCAGATGTTTTAAATCAAAACTGAAAAGTAACCTGGATTCCCTTCGTCTTTTCAGCCTGTCTTGTCACCACTCCCCACAGACGCCATACCTAAATGTCTGAGTATCTCCACTGAAAATGCTGTATCCTCTTTAGTCTGGCACACTTAACAACAACACAGTTCTTCTCCTTCTTCTACGCGCCACCCCATCTTTACTGTTAAATTGTGAAAATATCATTTTAGTGCCAATAAATCTGAAAACCATAAGCCTGAATACTAATTGTTTATACAGACTATTCAGCTTGAATTGCAACCGGAACACAATGGAGTCTTGGGAATCCGAACATTTGAGAGAATTCTCTTGTCAAGAGTTGCCAACAGGTTTGGCAGCCATTTGGAGAGGAAGAAAAAAAAAGTACACTGTTGTGGGTTTCAACCAAACTGCTGCACTAATTGGCTCTGACAATCAATCATCACCATAGAAGGAAGGCCCTTAATTCTGAAAACAGAAGGGAAAGAAAGACAAACACACAATTAAGAGTAAGACTGAATCCCGATGTTGCATACCTTTGGAGAAAAGCTAACTGGCAGTTTTATTAACTCAATGAAACTCTAAGTTAAATAACAGTAAGGTATTCACCCTACTAGTCATGAACCCACATTCTCCAAGTGGCAAGAAGGAGAAGCACTCTTGCACTGTCTGCCTGGTGCAAGACGCCACACTGTTCTGATGTGTAATCTGAGCAAGCCATCTACACAGGAAGCAAGCTTATGCAGACAATAGGAGAGCTTGCTGTAGGATAGTACAGCTTTGTATTTGCAAAATCCTCATAAACAATAAGATTTTTTGGTGAACATGGTAACTTTCTCAAATGTCAGGTAAGAAAAGTGTTATTTCCGCTCTCCGTATGTAACCATGCTAGAGGAATGTGCTAGTCTTACTCGGTTTTATTCAGCTGTCTTTGGACTTTAGCTGGATTACAAAATCAAAATGCACATAGAAAGTTTCCTGACCACTACAACAACTGGCTAAATAATTGGTGATATTAATGACAATAAGAATTTTCAGTTGCCTGTTATTTTGATGTCACCATATCCTAGCAATGTTGTGGGGAAATTCTGAAAAGTGCACAATAAGCAGGACAGCTATTTATCGATTACACTTAAACTAGTGGGAAAATTCATATATAAAAACTGCTGTCCTGAATTTACATCCCTAAAAAACGAAAGCATTGCAGATTAGAAAGAAAAGCTAATTGCTTTGTTGTTAATATCGTGACCAAATTAGAACTGAAATCCTGGGGTATTATTGCGCACTTTAAAAATTCCAGGGAAATGTTCAGGTATTTGTCAGAATTTGCATTTCAAAAACCGAATACATAATCTATGGAAGCAGCAAAAATTAAAAGCATGTTCACAGCAATAATCCTCCAAAAACTTGCATCCTCTTCAAGTTCTACCCTGTGGTGTCTTCCCATTAACATTTCCCTCCCCTCTTTCTCCTTAGTGCATGCAGAAGTATTTTTGTACAAATTCCAGGCTACTGTGATGCCACTTTAGGGCATCACTAAAGGCCTTATTCAACCTTGCTTTGACTGATTAAGGGTCACAGAACTTGAATCTGCTTTGATTCTCCAGCCCTGCGCTTTAACATCTTCAAAGCTTATAAACCAAAAAAAAAGGAAGAAAAAAAAGAGGCAGTGTCTAAAGTCAGCCTAAAGTCATGTGTTAAAAAAACAGCTGATCTGCATTAAAGAAGATTAAGCTGCAGTGCTGGGGCTGAGAGCTTGGATTATTTTAATGTACCTCCATCAGCATACAAGCAGTCAGGACAATTACTGCCATTAGACTTGAATGACTGATTTGTAACCACAGCTAAAGAGAGTGGCGCGGGGCCGGGCCCTTCACGAAAATGAATTTCCATGCCATCAAAGACGTTTTAATGGGCTTCCCGATCAAACCACAAGGCCTGCCTTGCAAGTACAGAAAACTTAGAATGAAGGCTTCCTGTCCAAAAGGATTTGGTCGGTTGTCGCTTGATAATTCCCAGCTCGGCTTCACGGAAGAGGAAACGAAAGAAAAGGAAAAAACACAACAGGCATGTCCCCTGGTTTGAGTTTGGGGGTGTGAATGCCATCAGTATGGATGCTCTCTAAGCTTCTCCAAACTGCCGTATCCAACAGCTGACTTCAGTGTGCTTAACAAATAACTGCAATTTAGCTGAGCTTCCAAGGAACAGTTTGAGTCACTTTGCATTAGTGTCTGGCTGAGTGTTAAAAGTCGGCTCTGCCGAAGAAGCGAGGGAAAGGAATTTCTGCTCGGAGCGTTCCTTGAAGAAAGCTTAAATATTTGAATGGATTTTTTTTTATATACTTTACCTTTTGTTGTTTTAAGTCGCTTATTTTGATCTGCAAAAGACTGCAAACACGCCTCCCTTCCCCCGTTTTCTCATTTTCATTCCTGACTCGTGCGTTCCTACGTGCACTGTACATGCGCGAGCTTTTTAATTGTGTTCCACAAACCTGTAGGAAAGCCCTGCCTAAAAGTTTTTTTTTTCTTTAATGTTTTCAATTATATCATTCTTTTACATACCTCATACATTTTCTGTGAACAGGCGAAATAAATGGAGAATCTCCTACAGTGCGTGAATCTCATAAAGTGAGGCGTTACCACTGACCTTTTCTGTCCTGCCGTTGTTCAGGCCCAGACTATTGACAACGGCCACTTTTGCATCCAGAACTTGTTGCTCCCTCCTGAGCTGCTCCTTCATCTGCCTGGCTTCCTGGAACGCCTTAGTGACAGCGTCGTGATCATTCAAGTAACCGCTGGAGGTGATAGAGGACAGGATGTCTGGAAGAAGAAAAACGTCAGATAAACACCTTTGCTGCATATGTAGGAAAAAAATGAGGATAGCCGCCACTGGATGGATGGTGAGGCTGTCCACTTAGACATGTGGTCCTGTCTAATTCCTTCAGCCTTCTGCAGCTACAGGGCCCAAGCTGCTTTCTTCAGGTGTGGCTGCATATGGGTGGTAACAGCAAATTACCACCCATATATTGGATTATGCTGCATCTTCAGTAAGCTACCAAAACTAGTGTTTTAAAGAAGGATATGAGCAAACTACATCTTTGTAAATAAGATTTCTGGAAAAAAAATGCATCATTTTGGACTGGTGCTAGACAAAGCTTTATCTCGGATATCGTATTCGTTTCAGTTTTGAGAGAAGTAAGCACACACCTGCTTGGGCCACAAGACAAACAGAAGCCATGGTTTAAACTGATACAAGGTGCAATTTTGCATCAATGTACAAAAATATCTGTATACCACCAAATTAAAATTTCAGCATTTTGTTCAGCATCAGTTACAAAAGGGAATTATGTGGCTTTTCAGAAATGCTTACGTTATTTTTTCCTAATAGCAAGGCAAATTGCAGTGCAATAAATAGTATTCTGCTTTGCATTACTCAGATTACACCTATGAAAACTGGTTAGCTTTGCTAATTTACAGGCAGAAACATCTGGCAAATAGAAAAAATAATTCTCTTCCTTATTATTTTTATTATTATTATTTTACTAGCAGCTTAAAAATATTAATGTCCCCTACATCTGGTGTAAAAAGCGGGAGCCATGCTATCATTCTTCCTATCTCGGGTTAAATCTAACAAAGACTTTGGGAAGCTTATGGCTCTTAATCTGTTGTAATCTACTAGTAAATGCCATCTCAGGCCAGATTAAGCTTTCAGATTTGTAATGACATAGGAGTAAACTCTTCAAAAAGTCATAATGAGCATATCTGATAAAGCTTACATTTCTCTTTTGAACACGGATTTCATTTTGAGATAGGTTTCTTTATGTGCAATGGAGGTACAATTCCTGAAATATCAAGTCAAATACATTTTTGATTGATTGTCCCGTTAGGGCGCTACCAGGTACCTGAAAGGGAAGACAATAAACTTGAGCAGCATTCCGGTGTCGCCAAAAGGATGCAAATATGAAATAAACATGGGAATGGTTTTATATATGGACACCCCAGGACCGAGACAGACACTGCTCTCACCTGCAGAACGGTTTCATAAAAGAGCAAAACAGAATGAGAAGATGCAAGAGACACAGTCACGAGAGGACTGTCCCAAATATTGAAACATGATTAAAGAGCAAGTCAAGAAGTGCAACTTCCCAGAGTGGAACGGGACAAAAGGGAGATGAAAGAATCAAAATGATCTGGAGATGCTGTATTGTGCACAGTAGCTGATTTGTAGTCAATTCATTCCAGAAACAGAGCCTCAGACAGCAGCGTGTCAGACATTTGCTGCTTAAATTGTTTCTGATCTTTTCCCTCATATTTCTTTGCCTTAATATGATCACCATCCCTTCGCATTTCTTTGCTACACCTTAAAAATTTCAAGCATCTTCTCTAAGAGATGAGCAATCCTATACAAGGGACGGTACGCGCAGGGAAAATGTTCAAGTGGAAAAGGGAATAGCAGTCTTCGCGTTTAAGAAGTAAGCCTGATTTCAGTTTAGATATTTCACATCTTTAAATATACATGCTGATCACTCCTGTGCCATTTGTATGTACTGTATAAGGTCCTAGACATATAGTGAACTGCTTAGATAAATAACAAATCAATCAATCAATTAGTACCCCCAGAAGACTACAGACAAGAATGCTGATGCTTGCAACGATGCCGTAACTTCTAGTGGAGTTATGAATCTTAATCTGACCCGATAAATATTGGTGAACAGATGGAAAGATTGTGGGACAGAAGGCAGATACTAATTGCATACAAAATGAACGGCTTGCCTCAACATGTTCCACTGGATTCCAACAAACTTTACACCCTAATCCATTTTTCAGAACAAAAAACATCTGGGCTATAAATCCACTAATCTGGCAAAACGTACTATTAAATCCTATGATTTGTTGAAAAACACTGAGATTAAAGAAAGGAAGTCTGAAATGGCTAACTGCTGTGTTCAGAAAGGAGGGGGGTTGTTATTAATGCTTTTTCTTTGTCTTGAACATGAAAGTACAGTTCTTTAAGAGCCTTGTCTAATCACATCAGATGACACATCCTGCTTGTAATGCAAAAGCTTTGTCTTCATTCTTAACTCCAAGTTGCCAATAGACTGCATGAAGCACTTCCTCACTGCATTTCATAAAGAGCATATTCTGCATGGGTCTTAATTCACAGAAGGCTCCAAAGTTTTTGATCTGTTGTTTTCCAATATAAAAAGTCATCTTAGTTCTTTATTCAATCAGCTGTATCTTTTTCTTTCACATATTCAATTAAAGCATGAAAAACCCTTCAATTTCACCTACAAGGGTACTTCTAAATGTATAAAAGCAAAAAATCTATGTATATTAGAATCTTTTTACAGACAAGGCCAATGTTTTCTTTAGTGTGAGCAAGAGAAACAATCAGCTAACTGGTTGCCATAGCAATTCGTATCTAATGAAGGAGCATTTGCAATACCAGCTATTGTGATGGACAGCCTTTTCTGCCATGTCACAGGCTCATGTCCAGATTGTGCCCTAATCGCAATCTGGGTGTCAGACACACACTAATGAAAGCTTCTGTCGTCCCCACTAGCCTTTTCAACGGTGAGACTAAAATCACTGCCAGCACTGTAATATAACTTGTTGAACACCCAACTTATTGATTTATCCACTTGCACACTGGCAATAAGGATTGTTTATCCTTTCACGACACTGCCTTTAAATACAAACTGAAGTGTTTTAAAGCAGCCTGTTTCTGAACGGTTATTATTATTATTATCATCATACTTTTAAAAATAATATTGTTTCATTAAAAATGTTGTAAAAATGTAGTTCAATACCTTTAATGTTATAACAGTTCTTGGGTTTTGTCTTATTGATTTTTGTTTGTTTGTATCAACTGATTTTTTCCTTCAGCATGAAGTGTTTTGTTTGACTTGCTTGATTTTGTAACATTTTTTGATAGCAGGACTTGCTGTCCAACCAGTCCCTGGAACATGAGTGACATTACTTTCCTGCTCTTTAGAAATTGCTCTGATAAAATCACACTCACTATCCTCTTAAGGAAGAAACCTCTGTTTACTGCTGCATATCATCTAGAATCTGGTAGTAGAGTAAAATGCTTATTTTTGAAAATTAAATTGAGGTCAATAGATTGTTTTTAGTGATAGAAATTAAAAAAGGAAAAAAAAAGGATCTATGAATAGCCAATAACAAAAATTTAGCAAAACTCTGAGAAAGTACTGAAGTATAATTATTTACTTGTTATTACTGGTAGCTATTGTACAATTTTGTTTTGTTCATTTTAGTGTATGACTTTATTTTGCAACCCAAAACAAAGGAAAGGTTACACAACCTAAAAAGATGTATAAAATACAGAAGGCCTCCAGCAGGAAGTGAAAATAAGCAATTAAAAGGAAAATTACCTTTAAATATCAATGTTGTGTCCATGATATGTATCGTCCATGTGCAGACATGTTAGCAATTGACCTACAGTAAGTATACTAAATCATAAACAGGGCAGCATGGTAGTCTGGTGGTTACTGCTTGTTCCTTACTGCTTTTGTGTCCTGGGACCAAGGAACCATCTGTGTGGAGTTTGCATGGTTGCCTTGTGACCTCATGGGATTTTTTCTGGGTGCTGCTGTTTTCTCCCAAAATCCCAAAGGCATGCTGACTAAGTCGATTGGTGTCTCTAGTGTATGTATGTTCTGCGATGGTCTAGTGTCCCATCTTGGAAATAATCCCACCTTTAACCCTACGCCTCAGGGATGTGGCTCTTACAATGATTTAGCAGCCCCCTGATAAAAGAAGATGGAAAATGGCAACTTTTTCAGTCCGAGCTAAAGAATTACAAACTGTGCCGTGCATCGTAAGAACACATCTGAACCCTTTCAAATGTCCCTTGCTGTATCAAGAATTCTATCTAGATATCTTTTGATCTGCATTTTATTTTTATAGTCACATTTTTAGCATTATTGTAATGCTGCTAGAACTACTCTTCTACTGTAAATACAACAACTATCAGTAATAATAAGCACTTTGAGAAGCCACCTTTAAAGGCGCTATATAAAATAAAGTTTATTATTATAATAAAGGTAATATGGTTTCATCTGTGCATAAGCACGCAGAGAGGTATACAGTATGTACTGTATTGGCCAGTACACTTGAAGGTGATGTATTCAAATTCATTACAGCCCGCAGCAGGAAATTTAAAGAGAAGAAAGTACCTATAGAGCTGACTCTGTTAGGGGGCCCGGCCATGGTGGATGGGATGCTGTGTTTCATGGAGCTGGCATTCATCTTCAGGGTGGGGCCCTGCGGAGACGCTGGGGACATCGGTGACTTGCTGTCCGACGTCTTCGGCTTGGACGACAGGTTCAGTGGCTGCGCACCTTCGTCCTAGAAACAGACAACGAGTACGGGATGAAGTACAAAAGAAACCTCCTGCAGATGAAGGAACTTCTTGAACGAACGGAGAGGAGGAGGCAAGAAAGGGGACAAATGGAAGAGAGTCCATTAATCTGACTCTGCTCGCCCTCACTAGTTAATTAGCTGATTCATCAAAGAATCTCATCAAACAGTTTCTCAAGGCTCCCATTGAAAGGGCATCCCTAAAGTGGCAAAACAGACTTTTTTCTCTGGAAATCTAGTGTAGCTTGGTCTGTGTATAATACAGTATATGATGTATTTAGAGACTCATAGCAAGATGAACGAAAGAATGTACAAAGCATGCATCCCTATTGTATTTTATTAATGCAAAACATAGAACACACACAAAATAAAGCTTTCATTGTTAAGATCCATCTGTAAAACACTTTTATTATACGCAGTGCTCATTGATTATGTTGTTAAGGTGGGTGGAAGGTATGTCTTATTATAGATGAAGGAAGGAAGAGAGCCAGCGCAACAGCAGGGCCCCCTGTCTTTACCATTCACCTCCACCCTCAGCGAGAATTAGCAATTCCACTCTGCCAAAGAACATTTCGGTACAAAGCCACAGACATTGTATTCCATTCAAGAGGCGGATCGTGGCTATAGATAACTTTAAAAAACATTTGGATTTTTGATTATATTAAGGTTTGTTGCTTTTTGAAAGCATACCATCATTGCATTTAGCATAACTGATGCAACACAAAACAGTATTATACCCCCACTTGAAGAAACTGAGGAAAGCAAAAACATGTGTGTTATACTTTTTTTCAAGCTGGTTCTGCCTATCATATTGGACATTTTTTTCCACAAAAGCCTTCCTCGTATTCAGGAACTGCATAGCTTTACCATGATTAAGGAGGACATCTCTCCTATCCTTCCAGATTGGTTCAGCACATTTGATCATGTGCAGCACTCAAGCCGAAACCATTGAATTTTGTTTGCCTCCTGCAGGACTCTTTAGGGGTGTTAGAATAAAAGAAACAAATTGAAGAATAAAGAACAGCTTATTATCTTAGCTTATATTAGCTTATTTATCTTAGCTAAAAATAGGAATTTAAAACAAGGTGGCCTTGAATATGTGAGTGATAAACATTTCGCCCTTACCAGCATTAACTTGTGATTAGGTGTCGATGGCATTTCTGTATTTTGCAGAGTGTAACTGGGTTTTCTGATGGCATTAGCAAATGGAACTAAGGAAATGCAAACAAAATGTGTTCTGAAGTTTGCAGCTTTGCACACAAAAGGAAAATCAAAAAAAAGAAAAACTGAACTGGTAGATTTTTCACAGGCAGAGTACATTACAAAGTTATCAGAAGAAATAATAATGGCACGGAGAAGTGCAGGCAGTTGTGAAACATGTTGTAGAAATTAATCACGATGCTGATATTATCCCTGCTGATGAAATAATTGCATTAAATTAAGCGGGGATGTTCACATGACAGGATGGCTGAATTAGATAATTCTCATCCACAGCTGCACCCACACACACACTCCCTCTCTGATTAGGGAAAACACAATTAGTCTACAGCAAAGGTTCAGCTGAAAGATTGTTAGATCTTCTGTGGCATTCTGTTTGTGGACACAGGCCTGGGTGGGGGGGATCTTAAACTGCCCTGCCACTTACCATGAAAAAAAAGGTTTCCCCTACACTGCTTACAGTATGTCAGCATGTTATTTGAAGTCAAAGTAAGACATTCATTTAAGGAGCCAATGGAAATATGTGGGAGAGGGCTCCTTCCCTGGCTTGTAATTATATGAAAAGTAATATAGTTCATTCTTAATTATCTCAGAAACACACAGTTGCAAACAACAAGAAGTGCTTGAGAATACTGACTTACAATGTGCCCTAAAACAAGAATACATTGATCATAGTAACATACTTGAAGACTTTCCTTAATGTTCTTTTGTCATCTTGAAAAGTGCTACTGTCTGGGAGAACCAGATCTGCATTTTAAACGTTTTGTGTTGCATACATAAAAGACTGTTTGCTTGCAAATTAAATACTTGCAAATGCATTTTCACACACATATATATATATACACCCTGCTGTGCAGAAGTCTTACACATCTTAGATACAATTTCTTTAAGAATTTAAGAGCAGTATTTACCTAAGGCCTCCACCAGTGTTTACTGCTATGGTGGGCACCAAAAGAAAATTAGAACTTATAACTAGACTAAAGTTATTCTAAGGAAAGTAACTAAATCTTTTGTCTGTTTTAAGATAAGAGATAAGATAAGACTAAGGTAAATAACTAAATATTTTGTCTGTTTTGCACAGGCATGTGATTGAACGGACACGAGCGGTTAATTAATTGATAAACAATTATTGCCAACAGGTAGGGTCAACAAAAAATCTGTTGCATCTACTTCCAGACGCTGTCTTATGGGATTGTATTCCATTTGTCTCTGGAGCCCATGCCTGTCAATATGTCAATATGAAGTATTAGAGAAGCTCATTGACTGTACCAATCAAATTCAATTGTAACTGAATTGTGTTTCTGCACAATGAAGGAAAACCAGTAAGTGAAAAGAGCAGAATGATATAAAATGTCTAAGATTGTAATAATGTGTCCATTAACGTGTAATGTGTAATTCCTGTTATATGGTGTACTTCACAAAGATACTTTCTTCAATCTTCAAAAAAATGTTTTTGATGTAATAATGGTGATGATTATAATAATAAGTTTTAAGCAAGTACATAAACAAATCAGTAAGATTTCAACTTCCTAGGTCGAAAGAGGATACCCATCTCCCTGATACCTATTATCTCTTAACAATTTATTTGTGCTTTTAAAATGAATTGCTTGATTAAGACCTTAGCCTATAATTTCATGATAGGGGTTTAACGGGATTGGTATCATTAAGATTGAAACAATGGAATATGTTAATGGAATGTAACAAGAAATAGAGGGTTTGAGACACTGAATTCTGACCCCAAATTGTTTTGATTTGCTTCTGAATAGTTAAGGAAGCCTGAATATTTATTACAGATAATGCCTCATCCCATTGCTCTTGAAATTTCTAAGAAGAAAATCCTTGAGTGGGATGTTGGCCAATATGAATAATGCCACTGACAAGGAATTACTGTGATTGGCTAAGCTTTGTGTGAAATGCATGTTTCACTTGGAACGGCGTAATTACATTCTAAGCCAAATGCCTTCAGTCTGCGATCAGAAAAACAGCAGGTAGAAAACTTCTCCTATAAGACCTCCAGAAAAAAAATGTGTAAGGTGTGATTCATGCACTTTTTGTAAATGTATTAAAACGTAAAAGAAAAGAAATCTTTAGGTGCGTTTTGGAACTTCAAAAGAATGAATACAGGTAAAGCTGACCTTACAGTACTGCACCAAGTCACAAATAAATACCGTAAGCCCATTGATTCAAAACATAATAATGAACATCAACAGGAGATCTAGCACATTAGCTAAACATTACTTGATGTCATAATAATGGGCTAGAAAGTAAGAATATCATGGTCAACTGTGCATATCTAGGCTGCTCATTCAATTTACTATATGACAACCTAGATTCTTCATTTCAATGGTGAAATACAGAAATACACCCCTTCCTGGATTCACATTAATATACTTTTCAGATGCTGAATCTAGAGATTAAAAACCCACAAAAGGTGTAGTTTACCTATTATATCATGCATAAAATATGCTAATTTTAAAATATGTCAGCACTGTGATGGTGACCTACTAGCAATAGTGCACAAAACTGTCCAAAACATGTGATTTGTTCCAAATTAGCTGTTGTAAACTAATTTTCTAATTAGCTTTCAGGACAGTACATTTATACAGTGGTGCAGAAAGGAAGCAGCTCCTACACTGTGCTTGCTTCAATTTTGTATTATTCACATACAGTACAGCCAAGCATAACCCTCTGTAATTGGACATGATGCGCCTCTTGCATAGAGTTTTAAAAATGATTTCCAGGTGAGTTCTGAGTAAAAGTGCTTAGTTTTTTAAACCTAGAAAAAAGAAATCTGCCATCACACTGTCACTAGAATTAATTGTGAAATAAGACAATTTGCAAGACTAATACAAATCGCAGTTCCTTCTATTTTCTACTTCAAAATGACTTCATTCCAGAACTGTTAAATAAGTGTGGCTCATTTTAATTTTCTTGTATATCTTACAGTGGAAATAATTTATATTTTTAGTAAAAAGCATGAAAAAAACCTGAAGAATAAATTTGGCTTGATAAATCAGCTCTGGGAATTCTGCTATAAAATGCGCTCTCACTGAATAGCTACACTTAGACTCATCACACTGGAAAAAAAATACTGTATAGCGGTGACAACATCTTAGAAAAGTGTCTAGAATAAAAGTTTATTTCATGTTCAAATTTAGGGGAGATATAATGCTGAGTGACCAACAATTACAACCTTTCATTCACAATACAAGTGCCCTGAGTAACAGATAAAGATACGTGGCACATTTTTACAGGTTGTACCCTTTTCCAATTTGGATTGTGTTGAATAAAATACTCATGCAAAATCTACCAATCTACCAAGTGCATTGGAAGGGATTAAGTCTGTTTTTAATCTAATTATTTGACGTTCTCTCCACTAAAACAGACAGATCAAGTATTTACAATGAACATTACTGCATTCCTACTCTGTTGCTTTCAAAGTATAGAGCAGTAAAAGTACAGAATTGTTCCACACAATTCGTTTTTTCATGGTAGGGAAAAACATAGCTGGATCTGAACAGGAAGCACGGATTTCTTTTCCACTTTTACCACACCAGGTGAAAACCTTTTACATTTCAAACAGAATGAAGGCTGAAGAAGCACTTTTCTATTCAATTTATTGAGTTGCGAATCTCCATAGCTCGTGGTGAAAAAAACTCAATATCTATACTTGCATGACATGTACAGTAACTGGAACATAACCATTTACAAACTGAAGCAAGACAACAAAAATCTAAAGAACATCTTAATGTTCAACTACAAGAGGTAATGGGGCTTCCATCTTGTCTATAAAAGGATGCAACATAATGAGTTTGATGCAGCAAAAATTAATATGAAAGAAGGCCTTTTATCAGAATAGTGTTAAAAAAGACAACCTTATAATGAGGGTAGAATGCAATCCATGGTTTGTAAGAAGACATCCACAAATATACAGCATCTGCCCAGTATCTTATCCGAGAGCTGACTTTTCAATTACCACGAAACAGTGTGCAAAGCTGTTATTCATTTGGACCACTGCTATCTGTGAATCCAGAAAGCAATACAGAGGCACTCCAAAAGAAGCAGGCCTTCATTCTGCTTTATGGTAGAGCCAGAGTTTATCAATATGACCCTGACTCATTTCATGTGGGTGTAGGCAGGTCGCAGGTCACCAATCGGTCACCTCCAGAAGATTTATACCTTGCATTCTCAGCTGCCACATATACTACCCTGCGACAGTGCAAACACGATCAATAAGGGCATCTTTCAGAGTCATGCAAGAGCTTAGACAGCATGTATACAAAGCTTTTAAAACCAGTTAATCTTGTATGCATTTATGCCTTGTGCAGTAAGTGGGGCTCCAAGATTGTAATACATTGACTTGCTTTTTATTCTGCCTTGTTGCATGTTTCTAAAAGCCAGGGCATCCTTGTTTCAAATCCCAGCACAGCACCTGATTTTACTTTGCAACCTTGAGGGCAAATCACTTTACCACCTTGTGCCTCAATCCAAACAGCTGTGGGAACCAGTGAGATTTCTCTATAAATGAGGTGTGGAATCCCAGCTGGGATTTCCTCAGGAACTCTTTGCTTTAAAAATACATGCTAGCTGATTTCAGGTTTAGATTACAAAAAGACTAAGTCAGCAAAGGAAGCAGATGAAAAGATTCAATAGAAAAACCGAAGGTCTGAGATACTGCCTCATTCTTTTTTCTTCAAATATGTGCTTGGGAAAATAAGAGAGACATCAGCTCTTTTATGATAAAGTGACAAGTATTGGGACAGTGAAGTCTAAACTGTGTGCTTGCTATGAATGGCAAAACTAATAATATTTTTCATTTAAAAGCACATTTTGTTTAGTAAAACTACTAAGAAGTATTTTTAACAAAACTAACTTAGTTCTAGCTTCATAAGTCAATTAACAAACTGATACTGCTGAACCTCCTTATTTTGATGCAGAAGTATTGGGACAAGTGACTGGCAAGTGTTTCTTGTTGAGCAAGTATTTGTTGTGTGTAAATTAGATAATCATAAAAGGGCTGCGATCATTGTGTCAAACTTCCTTAAACTTGATTTCAGTCCTCGGACTCTGAAGTCAAAAGTTAAATTGTCAAAGACATTTAACAATTTGTTAAAGAAAAATAGACTAAATTTAAAAGCTTAAAGAAAATAAGAAATCAGTTTCAAACCATAGCACAGAAATTGGTCATACCAAATTCCCAAATCTAAATAATAAATCCAGGTATGCTAACGAATCAGCCACGAGAAGATTAAGCAAGAAAAACACTGAATCAACAGCAGCTGATGACAAGCATTATGAGAGCTGTAAATGTAAAAAAAAGTGTTGGTGAAATTAAATCACCAGAGTCCAGTTTGCAGAAGACTGAGACAGCAGAATTTCAAAGCCTACAGCACAAGATGTTAAACTCTCATCAGCACTGAGAACAGAAAAGACAGATTAGAATGTGCTTAGAAGTACAAAGATCTACCAGGAGAGCTAGAGAACATTTTTTTTTCAGAATGAGTTAGAAAAAAATAAACCTTTGACAAAGTGATGAAAGGTTAAAGTGAAGAGAAAGTTTCTGCAGATTCTCCAAAGAACACCCCTGCAACACATGAAGGATCTAATGTCATGGCCTGGGTATGCATGGCCAGTTTGTGAACCGGCTCGCTGGTCTTTATTGATAATGTAACTAATGATGGATGCAGCAGAATGGATTCTGAAGCTCACAGAAACATTTTGTCTGCTTAGGTTGAAGAAAATGCTTCCATACTCTTTGGAGGTTGAAGAAAATTCTTCACCATGCAGCATGATAATATATAAAAATATATGTCCAATCCAAACAAGGGGTTCATTGGAGTGCATTATATGCTTAAAAACAATTGAAGTTAGAACGCTGCAGGAATAGGTAAGAATTCAAAGTGACAAAATACTGACTTTTACAGACTGAAATGTACAGAAAGTGAATGTGTCCCAAAACTTATGGACACATGAAAAAAATATGAACACTTGAAATCACTGGACTGAACACAAAGTAAGTTTTTATTCTAATCTGATCACATAAATACATGAAATAATCTCAAAATAAAAGGCATATTACATCATACTAATCACCTAAATTAATCACGATCACAAATACAAATTCCTTGACGGTAAAGCACAAACAAGTTTTGACATGGTTGTCCCGACACTTCTGGAGTGCACATTATATAAAACCTAATTATATGTATATATTTCTGTTTGTCTAAGTACATCCGCTACATCAAAATATGTTTATAAGTTCTACAACCACTAGGTGTTACATTTCTCATCTCTTCAAATCTACAGAGTGGCCAGTCACATGACTGCACCAGCCTCCCCATATATATGGTAATGTAATAGGAAGAGAAACATGTGTCATCCTCTGTCACTGTAAGAACTGCATCTCCTGCGTTTATTAAAACTGAACTCTGACACCTTGCTTGGCAGGAGACCAAGTAAAATCGATGGCTTAGATCTCAGGCCAAGATCCGAGGTCAATGATTGTTCTTAATCTTTAAAGTCATCCTGCTGTCTTTCTGTGAGGTTTCAGCAAGAAATCACTGGGATAAGACAACAGAGATGTGTTTTTATTTTCCCTTATTTATTTATTTTTTTAAAAAAGCCAATTGGTCTGATGCCAGTTCTTTTTCTCCCCCTTGTCATGCCTTAGGTTTTTGGAGGTGCTTCATAATCCAAATAAATGTCAGCCTATATATTTATATATTTTTTTCCCAACTTGATTTGACAGTAGTTGGTGTAAAAAGGCAAGAATTCAAGTCAAGTTTATTTAAAAGCTGCCTGCAGTTCACTGATTATATCGTGTAGAAAGAAATAGGATTTTAGGACTCATGCTGCTGAGTGGCCATTTCTAACCAGGCTGGGGTTGCAGTTTTTTTTTCTGAAAGTCAGAGCCTAATTTTTCCAATTTGCTCTCTTTCTCTATAGCAGGTAGGAACACATGCTGTTTCTCAGTGCTTTGACTGGATTGGCACAGTTTGTTCAACTGAACAAGGATTCATGACCAGCTACTGCACCTGTATTTGCAAAAGTCAGAGAAGTAACAGTTCAAAAAAGATGATGCTAACATCACTAAGCACTCATAGGGAAGAATGAAAATAGTCAGGTTTAAATGGAAATTTGGAGCAAAATAGAAAATAAGCAAATAGAAAATAAAAAAGTCAAGAAATGCTTAATGCTAAGCAATGGAAGGAATGACTTGTAAGTCAGTATCTAGTAAGTTCTCAGATTTAATTTAGAAATCTGTGTAACATATGGGTAACACTTCAGTTTAAAGGATGCAAATTATATTTATAAATTTTTCAAAACTTATACAGTAGTAGATTAACATGCCATTAACATTGTTTTAATAACCATTTAGTAACTGATCCCTGATGATTAAGAGCATTTAATAACGAACGCAGATAAGAAAAATGAAGACTGCTGGAATTATAACAAAATTCTAACAGGTTGGATCCTTAATCTTGCACACTTCTGCTTGCCTACATATATTCTGTTTGTGGGAGAGGAACAAACACAAGGGCCCAAGATATTAAGTGTCATTCCTTACTATCACTGGGACACTTCCATTGGTTTAAAATTGCAAACCATCCACAGTACCCATAAATCTTTCACTTCAAAGTACACTTTCAAGGTTAAAAGTCTCACACTGGGGCTTCCTGTACCCTTCCTGCCACCCCATCTACACCCCTGTAGCAGCTCCCTGGCTCAATCCTCTCATTACAGAGAGGGGGTCTGGGCAGCCTCAGCATTAAAGGGTATCTCTCTCATCATCCTCTCTCATTTATTAGGATCTACCCAACTAATGAATGCTCATATACAGATATTTTATTTGAAAAAAAAAATCTTATTTGAATAATTTTACCCTATCGTCATACATTAATGATATCAATAATGATTGGTATTTCTAATGTTAATAGCATGATGGGCCTTTATACAATGTCACTTGCAACCACTAAACTGAAGAGTTTAAATTTGCCATTTACCTAAAAACTTCACAAGGAAAAAGAACTATACAAATGTTTTCTATTATATTTGTGCTACAAAATACCTTGTATTACTCGGTCATGGATAATTTGTCCCTAGCACATCAGGGAAAAATGTTGTATAACAGCACAAGTACCTTTTAAAACAAAGGTCATCAAACTGTAATGTTTTCTGTTAAGGTTATTACTGAAGAAGGTTTGTCGCAAGCCACTGAATGGAAAATAACACAGCCCTTGCTTTAAAAAAGGGCACTCTTTTTTGCGACTTGGCCACATTGAGAAGTGTGTCTAAACTTAGAATAATGATTTTCCCTTTCACTTTGGCCCTCATCTGTATTCTGTTTCTTTCAAAATCTTTCACAGTACCTTGGCCTTAGCTGGAGGGGTGCTCCTGCACTTTTCTGTCTGGACACTGGTCGGTGAGTGCGTGCTGCCCAGGTTCGTCTGTGGCATGCTGGGTATCTTGGCCCCGGGGGACACCTGCATGGCTGCCAGCTGGGCAGCGTAAAGTTGCTGCAAAGTACGAGAAAATGAAGAGACAGCATGAATAAATAAACACATGACACAGACAAAAAGAAGATGCAGCTAAAAAGCTGCAGTAGCCATTAGTTTGTCTGATGGTTTGCTGTGTTTAACAGGCCGGCACTTTTCAGGCGGGGAGCTGTCACTTCATCTTTGGCGAATCGTCTCTCCAGAGAGTTGACAAACATCACACATGAATGAGAAATGTCCCAAACAAGTGCATTGTGGGAGAGGAGCAAACACAAGGCACGAGATATTGAGCGTCATTCCTGGATGCCACCGGGTCACTTCTGTTGGCTTAAAATTGCAAACCATCCACAGTACCCATAAATCCTTCACTTCAAAGTACACTTCAAGGTTAAAAGTAGCTATTGGTCATATATGTACATAGTATATACACTTTTTATACTGTATTTGTGTGTGTGAGGACAATTTCTGAGTGGCGTGTCCAGAAAAGTGCTATATAAGTGTAAAGAATTATTATTAAGTTCTGATTTTATTTTTTAAGATACAAACTGAATAACACTGTGCTTTTTACCATATTTAATTAAAATATACTATTTATGTCCTCCATGAACTTACATCAAATTTATATTTGTATTTTCAATTCTTGAGATCAAAGTAGGTGCTTTGTTTTTAAATGTTTTTAAAAATAACCACATAAAAACACTTTGTTCATTTTAATTAACTTAGGGTGAAAAAATGGAGGATTTAGATTTAACATTATGATTATCATATTAAACACTCTTAGCCAAAAGTCATGCTTATTCCAACAAGTATTAAAACGCAGATGAAAACCCTTAATTCCATGTTTTTAACTCTTATGGTGTTGTAAATGTGCATTCTTAAGCAAACACCCCATCAGTAAAACTAGATTGCTGTTTGTGTTCGTTCATGGGGGAATTAAAGGCGAGACCAGGATATATCTTAAAGACGTGAAACCAAATCAGTGTGTTTGCAAGTGAAAATGTCCTTCTGTTCCAGACTGGCTGGCTGCCACATTGTGGGAAACAAAAGCTGGTTTATGCAAATGGCAAAGGCTTTATTATCTAACTTTCTTCTCCGATATTTTCCAGAGAACACTTTCATGTCACTTACTGTACTGTATATCACCCATCAATAAACAAACAAATAAACAAAAAAAAAGTGGTTGATGGTAACTTCTGTTCCATCGTTACCACGATGCTTCCTTGGTCATCTGTGTGCCCAAGCGCAGGCGTCTTCCCCCGGTGAGGTGATGCATACAAAATTGCTGACATCTTGTATTCAGACCACTGGTTCAAAGGGCTTTATTTGCTCTTTGAATTGAGTTCCATTACAGGGCCAGCGCCTATCAGTCAAACTGCCTGAATAGAAGCATGAAGCGAGTGACAGCCACTTACACACTTACAACATGCAGAGCGCTCTGAGAGGGACTCGAGCAAGGATGCAGATGAAGATAAAGGAAGTGACACTTGTGCCCCCTGGGGCAGCCATAGGCATGTTCAAGGGAAAAAAAGCACAATGAAAGTGGGCAAAAAAAAAAAATAATAACTGGGTCGTGGCAAGGCAGAAGAATTTAAATGTCACCCGTTAGCAAGGCTGTAAGATGTACCATTTTCCAGGGTGGTTCTGGGGCGCTTCTGGTGTGTCTCATTAGAAACGAAAGCGCTAATCAGGACTGACAGATACTGTATTCCCTTGGTTATGCCGAGAAATTCAAACGTTTGGTTGAGTCTGATTGAACTCAAAAACCTTTTAGTTTGCTTAAGCTTTTAATGTAGCTTCAAGTTTCGCACACTTCTAAAAACAAAGCCAGCAGCTCAGGTCTCCCTGTTTGGGATCCTGCGGTTGACCGGGAAGATAGACACAATATTTACAGATCTCCTCCCATCTTCAGCTAGTCTCAGCTAAAGATCAAAAGGTTAAAATCTGTTATTTAGCTTCCCTTTTGATTTGCGTCCCAGTATTGGCAATCTCCTGTTGAAACACGATGGTGATTGTGTAGCTTTAGTATTATTGACATATGCATACGAAAAAACCTTCCTAAGCCCTTTTTATTCCCAGAGTTGACAAAAATTTACATGTAATTTCAGGCAGTTAGAAAAGATTTGTCTCTCTTTTGTATGCTGTTTTGGATGGTTTGAGCAGACATCTTACAAAGTCAATAATCCCCTATTTTAGAAAGATTATGTGTTCTGACTAAGGACTTTGTTGTCCAAATCCAATAGGTTCAGCACAGAACACTTCTATTGTTTAATTTGGCAAACAGTGTTTTGTGTAAAGTTTTAAGTTTTTTTTTTACTTCAGTCCTTCTTTTAACCTAATACTCTGTCTTGTGTCTTGACAAATTCAGTACTTAATTAAACTAGAGTTGTCACAATGGTTTTGAAATTTTGCCTGCAAGAGAAACAGGATTAAGCTATTCCTAACTTTCATCAACAGATCATGAAAGTGATGTGAAGGAATCAAACCGAGTCAAATTGAGCTGTCAGGATATTTCATCTACAAGTATTGACAATGCTGAGGTTTATGGAGTCACACATCTGACATTTTCCTGCATGGAGTAACGACCAAATTGTGGTGATGCCACTAACATTGAAAATAGAGGTGAAGTAAATGGCTTTGGAGAGAACGAAGATGCTTCTTCAGTGACAGAAGTGGGAGGCACTGTGAAAATGTACAGAAAAATGTCATTGACATGGATCCTACAAGGAATACAGATTTGTCTTTTAAAAAAGGCAGAAATCCAGTGACAAGCATGAGGATTTGAAACAGTCAGTTCAAAGTTCTTCTTTCAATGCAAGCCAGAAATGCTTTCAGAGTTGCAAATTCACACTCTATGCCTCTCCCCTTTATTGAACACATTGATATATTCTCAGGATAGGCCTTCCACCTAGCCTCTTGAATCAAGACAGAAGTCAAAGGTCATGATGGCTTTAGCAGCACTCTCCTTCAATTGTCATTTGCACTTTGATTACAAAGGGAATGAACTGGGAGGTTTTTTTTTTCAAAGCCATATAGGTGACCGACGTATCTCAGCCTGTATTGATCGAAGGAACAAGCAGGTTTATTCCATACTGAAAAGAGAAGCGTTTCAGCTGTGGAGCCTTCTTCAGGTGTGAGGAAGAAGGCTCTTACCCCCGAAGAAGGCTCCACAGCTGAAACTTTGTGTTTTCTTTCTTCTCTTTTCAGCATGGAATAAACCTATTACTAGTTCCTTTGCAGCCTACACATGCTGATGCAGCTACCAACCTGAACTACTGTATATCAAAGACTTGTATCAGTAAAATAATTTCCGGGAACTCTTGTCTCTGCATCAGAAATAAGATTGCATGTGGAAGGATGTTTTGTCACTTTTGGATACCTGTTGTAAGATCACACATTTATATATACTTGGTATATGAATTTGTTAAAAAAATAATAGCAAGCTAAATTAAATGTACCCATCATTGTAATGACTAATGACTAAAGATCGAAAATACTAAGATGTAATTAAATTAACTTAACTTGAAGCGTATACATTTTTTATAAGCCTAACCATAACTAGAAACTATAAGTAGGCTTTTACCTGTATCCATTATTTTGCAAAGATGGAAAACATTGCATAAATTGGAGGCAAGCATCACAAATTACTTCAATCAAGAAAACAAATATTAAAAAAATTAAAACAAAGGTACTGAAATTCCCTATGCAACATTAAGAATATGGAATGTATTGAAGGTCCATTTTTAAAAGGTATTAAATTAAAGAGCAACACAGCAAATTAACAGCAAATTAAGATATATTGGTCATGATATTTTATCAACAAAAACTGACATTATGAATAAATAGGGTTAATGTAAATTCAAGTATTTTTCTGGCCAAAGTCTGTTAGTTCTTTCTTTCATACATAGAGAGGGACTTTGGGAGTTCTGCACAGTAGACCACATTAATTTTCAAAAAGACTCCCAGGTGATAGTAAGACATGTACACAAAGCACTACAACCATTTCTAAATTAATTTGGCTGACACTTTTATCCAAAACATCTTACTGTATATTTGCACCAAGGTTTACAGCTGTATATATGCTGTAAATCCTGCAAAGTTTAATTTCAGGTTTCTCGTCAACTTTAGCTTTAGTTCTAACATAGACTTTTTGTGTCAAAATATTTCATGTTGGGATTACCTGAAACAACTTCACATATTTAGCAAAGGCAGACCGCTTTTTCAATAGGTATATTGTATGACAGCTCACATCTCCAGGTAGAAAATTATATTATTCAATGGTATCATCAGTCCACACAACATTTCTTTAGTCATGTCACAGTAACTTTTGAAATATGGTAACCCTATGCATGGACAAACATATTCACACTGTAACATAGTTTATATGCAGAAACCATTCTTGTATTATTAGTAGGTAATCTTTTACACTAACCACTAACTATCCAGCTCTTTTGTCAAATACATGTAGACAAACCAACACACATTATTTCCAGGCTGAAAGGATCCTCTGAATGACAAGCTACTTATTTTCCCAATGTACATGAGAAAAAAAAAGGCTGGCATTTTCTCCTCTGGTATACACCTTTCTGCTTATGGCTACTCATCTTAATACAAAAGTGCAGTTTTTTTCCCTCTGTTTGAGAAGATCCTTTAAAGGTGCTGTTATCTCTTCTTAAATCCCTCAAAAAAGGGATTTTTTCCCCATAGTCGCAAGAGCAAATGTGCTAAATTTATCCTCTAGTGGAAGTATTAGCCATCGGGTGATCGGCTCTGTTCGTCTCTCCCTCTCTCTCTCTCTCTCTGCCTCTCTCGCACTACAAACCATTCCCATGTACAGCACTATAATCCATTACAATATGTTCCAACATCTGCCTCCCCATATGATGCATGACCCATTCGATTGACCCTCTTTATACCTCTCCAGCATGGCTGTTCATTACTGATGGCGGATGAGCGCTCTACTCATCTCTTCCCCAGGTCAGCAAACCAGTAAATACAACTCCATTTCACACTGGGACTGCTGC